GTCTGTGGTGACAATGTGAATCGTATGTCAATTTATATAACAATACTAGCTGACCCGGCAAACGCTCTTTGCCATATAAATTATTTGTAGGGTACAAAAAAATGTTAGGGGTGGACCACCCTTAACATTGACTGAAATGAAAAATAGATGTTATCCGATTCTCCGCCCAGGCCTTTATTAGATTTAATAGTCCCACTACAAGACAGAATAGTACACAAACCAAAACCTAAAACGACCAAGTTAAAAAGTTGTTACCTTTTATGTTGTAGGCTTCGAATAAGAAAGGTTTTTTGGGCATTTATCGACTTTGGTTACTCCAGTTGGAGAAAATTTTGATGTGATTGATTTTGATTTATCCGCCGCATTTTATTTGAAAGTTAATAAATAATATAGTTTGTTCCCTTCCAATAAGACGTTATGAAGCACATACATATACGTTTAAAATTAGAACTTTAGAAGCAATAAATTGCAATGCATACGACCTTTTTGTCCTCTATATTATTTTTATAAAGATCTAAATACTGTTTCATTGTCTTAGAGGAATGTAGTATCAATTTGTAATTTGTGTCCTACTTTAATCTTAAATCCATATAATGGTGAAGAAGAGTAAAGGACATGGTATAAGTATAAAACCCATGTAAGTATAAAAAGATAACCCGTTGTCAACCTCTTGGACAGCTCATAATTTGTTCTTGTATTTTATATAAATAAATTAATTATTGGGAATCTAAATTAGAGGCGATGAAACTTTTAATGCCTGTGTTAAACTTTCAACAGGTTTGCCATCTAATCAAGTTGCATAAGACATAATTTTTGTTTTCTCTTTTTTCCCTCAAATCTCAAATCTTATGCAGATTTATAAGTATCCGTCCAAAGAGGATTAATTATACGTTATGCAATAAGATATGAGAAATCGTAGAAATTGTTTGAACAGAAACTTCGGCAAGTACAATTATTGTCGTTGTCTTTTGACCTTATAAAGTCGTACCGTTAACATTGCATAGAAAATATCTAATGAATTTATATAAGTGCACAAGATTGAACCGTTGGGGAAGAAAGATTCTCGAGTGGCAGCCTCGAACTGGCTATCGCAGTGTGGGACGAACCCCCACTAGATGGAGGGATGACCTGTGCAAGTGTGCGGGAAGTCGATGGATGCAGGTGGCTCAAGATCGTGCTTCATGGTAGTCTGTGGGGGAGGCCTATGTTCAGCAGTGGACTCAACAGGCTGAAATGATGATGATAATAATAACAAGATTTTACATGTATAACCAAAATTGCCCAGAAATAAATGACTATTGCTATTAGATTTAAGTGCGTTAGGGTCAAACGGTAGCTTCAGCAGCATGAATGAGATTACCCGTCCGGGGAAGTAATTTCCATATTGAAAAAAAATATCCAACTATCGACGTAAAGCTGGAATAAAGGTGAGATAATAATTTTGCACCTAAGAAATTTAAAATGGATAAATGGATCTAAATGATTTGTGGACTCAACTGATGATTTCTAGCTCCTAACCAGGTTAAAAATCCTGGGTTAAAGAATCACATTATTTATAAGATTATTCATATCATCTAATGACGTATACGTGTTTAACTCGGAGGGTTCTAACAATATAAAGGAGAAAAATTGTCTATGAAACATTGGCTATGCTGGCTAACACTGATTTTTGTTTAATTAATAACCAAAAAATCTACAGTATGATGAATCCTTACCTTTACGACGTTTTCGAACTGACACTCCGACATTTACGGTAGAATAGTTAAATAAATTACTACACTCTACAATCTACTGTTTTTAAAGTGTTTTTTCAACCAAATCCAATATGCGATGTTGTCAAATTTCAAGTAAAGGTTTGTTTACACAGGTAGTAAGAAATTTTTGTATTATGAAAAATGATGATAAGCAAAAAATTACTCAAAGTATATCCATATCTATTGGATTCTAATACAATGGTCTAGTTAATAACTTCAAGTTGCTACGAATTCAATCTGAAACATTGTTTTCGCATTATTGGTTCAAACCGCAAACAACGATGCGACGTACCTTACTACATAAGTATGTTTGCTCGTACCCACGGACAAGAAAAATAACTTTTATTTATTTTAGTTATTTTTGTAGTCCGCGCTCATGTTATATATTGTATTCTATTAAATTAACTATTTTATTGCTTAACACTGGCAACATAAATATACCAAGTTAGCTTTATGCAGTTCTACTATTAAAGTTTTCTGAAATTCGTACTTAACCTAAAATATATCGTACAAAAAAGTTTGAAGTTTCAGTAAAACAATAATTAAAATGATTCCCATATGATCAAAATTCATTCTTATTAACAAAGTTTAACTTATTATTTTATCTTCATACTCCCTCTAAGTTTAACTTATTATTTTATCTTCATACTTTACGATAGCATCAATATATTTAATAATGTGTTTGAAATTCTCTACTTGTGGTCACCCCTACGACCAACAGGTTTGCCTTCACTGAATCCCGAAATGACCTCCGATATATGAGCGGAACTCACGCAACGACTATTATATTACAAACACTATCACTTCATTACTCAAAACGTTATACAATTTATAAAATCGCTCACCTTTACTTAACCCCAATTCATCGTTTCCTAATGCTAACTACTTTTGAACGTGTCATTTAATAGAAAGTCTCCATTGTTATACACGGCTACATTAATTTTCTTAGAATTTGTTACATTGACTATCATATAGGAATCCGTTACTTATTTTGACGCGTTATGTCTTTGAAACAAAATGTCAATCATTATTAAGTCATCTGAAAAATTAACGTAGCAAATTAACCGCGCAAAGATATCGAAATTTTACTCTATTTGAAATATAATATCAACCACGATTAAGTCATCTGAAAAATAAAAGTAGTAAAATAACCGCGCAAAGATTTCGAAGTTTTATAAAGTTAAAGACGTAGAAAAACAATCGACTCGATTCAGATCTAACGTCCCTTCCATTAAAAATTTCAACAACTTTAAACCATATTTAACCTTTCTAAAAATGTCTTGGTATTCCAATAAAACCTACACTTCAATTACATAACACTGAAAGCATGCGATTAAGCCCCATCATAATATAATGTTTAAACGTCAAATGCTCATGAATTTAAACATCAACATAAGATAAACGTGCCTCTATAAATTTTTAACAAATAACCGTTCAATATATGGCCATTAATGATTTGGTATGACACAACTTTTCTTTTTTATATCGACTCAAAACTTTCACTCGTCTCGTGTAACGTTCATTTCGTTCGTTTCGATGGTTTTCTATGGGAAATAATTGTTATTTATATAATGCCATGCCATATTATATCATCAAATATAATATTTCTTTTCGTATTCATAAAATATTTTTTTCCGTTAAGTGTTACAAAGACGTACTGTACTTTAAATTAAACTTAATTCAATTGCTCAATTAAAATTTATCAACAAGAACTTATTCCAAAATGCCTTAATCTCACTTTGTTAATTATTTATTCGTCTATTACCTTATTTAAATTAAAAAAATTTGCAGTTATCTTAGTTCTATTTTATGGTGTATAATAAACAATATCCTTTAATTTAATCATTTTATAATACACGTCATACTTTTCCACATCGCATTACATGCAAACTAACTATACAAAAACTCATATGTTGTAAATGATTCTTTAAAATCGCTTTTCGAAAAAGGTTCATTATGGATTGTCAATATGTAATGACTGCAGCGAGCTGAACGCATTCACTGTATTCCCACGGGTCCATTAGCGGCTGTCGGGGAATATCTGACGACTGCACCGAATCAAATCGAACCTTGACACCCTATCACGTGTCCCAGCACATCTTATGGGTGCAGATAAGTATCGTCATAGCACTATACGACTCTAAAAGCGTTCGTAAACTGCTCAACGATGTCAGGTTCAAGGTGGTCTTTAAAGATATAGATGTAAAAACATTGCCATTGTAATAATACTCCGTCTAGTTAAAAATAAATTCGCTTTAATATTGCTCGGTTCTTATTTCATTGAACTCGGCTAAAATATTGTCAAAACGCTAAACTTTTTTTTAAATAATTCTCTTAGTCAAAATAATTCGGTCTGTCTTAGGCGGGAAATAACTTTGACACGCAAATGAAAATGACAAAAGTTTAGCACAATTTCAAAGTATGATCCTTGATAAAATTCGAAATATCAATTTCATTTCATTTTAATTTAATTTAATTGGAATTTAATTTAACATTTTAATTTAACCTTATTTATAAATTAAAATAAATTAAGTCACAGGACAATGTACTGCTTTATTTAAAAACCTTTTCAACAATTTGAGTAAGTACAAATATGTTTGAGTAAGTACAATACGTTTACGGTGGTAGGACCACGCAGCAGCCTCGGCTGTTGCACGAATGGGCAGGCTCGTCCGGGTAAATACCTCGACATCCCAGAAGACCGCCGTAAAGTGGAAGTATAATACTTTTGCGTTTCGTCTGGTGAGTGAAGTGGCCGGAGCCCAATTTCCAAAAGGTTATCAACACATCTGGAACCCTCGAGTGTAGCAGATGTCCATGGGCGGCGGTATTTACTTAACATCAGGTGAAACGCAACTTTCCACATAAAAAAATATGTATTACATACGAGTATAGATTAGACACGGATTTATTCATGTATCGTAATTTGGTATTACGCGTTATAATACAACTTAAATACGAGTACATACGTAAAAGCTGTTTAAAAAATTGACTTGAATTATACTGTGAGGATTGTGATCTATTCAAATTTGTAGAAACCGCGCGGATCCCACATCCTTCGGATAGGGATTCCCAGACGCTTTAACCACTACGCTAAAAGGCCGATTGCCACGCCAATGAAAATCGTAACGTGTTTTAACTACATTGTTCTTTCGCAATCCAGGCAATGTGATTGATGCGCTAAAACGTAAGTCAAAGTGTCAAGCACTCGAGAGCTTACGGGCTGTTTCCTAAAGCAATACTCACGTCGTGCGTTGTGTCGCCGTGATGGAAGCGCTGCTCCGTCTCCCGCACGCGCTCTGTCACGTTCCTCGTGAGGACCTTCAAGTCGTGGCTCTCCCGCACCTTCCCGTCAGGGTTGGCGACCACACGGGACGAGACCAGCACCTTCCCTCCCGCAGGCGCTACCTCCCCGCCCAAATCTATACGACGATGTACATCGGTTAAAGCGTAAAACTAGGCCTTAGTGTACACACACAAGCGAGCCGGATTTCATCGGTATGTCCGAGCGGTAAAATCGAATATATATAGATGATGTTCGGGAATAACAAACCAATCGGTTGCCGCACATTGTCACTTGGTGTGCCGGCAAAGCGGCGTGGTAAAATCGAATAAATTTATTTATATGATGTTCGGGAATCATAAACCTCGGCACAATCAAATGAGACAATGAAAGACACAATGAAAGCTTATTTGTATCTGGTGACGTTACGATTCTAGTAACTATTCCGTCATCTTACACTGTGATAGGGCCACGCAATAATTTGTGCTGTTGCACCAATAAGCAGGTTCGTCCAAGGGAGCATGACCTCACAGAAGAACGGTTTGAATGGAAGTACTACAATTTCGTCTGGTGATTGGACTAACCGGGGCCGGGGGCTGTCAACGCATCTGCAAACCCTTACGCGATGTAGATGTGAATAGGCGATGGTATTCACTAAACATCAGGTGAACTACCTGCTCGCTAGATAACTTTTCCAATTAAAAAAATATCATCAGCTATGAACAACAGAAATCCATTATACGTTTTATGACGTTCTTGGCTCTAGTCGTGAACGAACTCTACATACCAATCTCAGCTGTAGCTGTTGGTTCGTCCGCATCTTCGATTTGCGCCCCAGCAGTTTCTTTTTCATTTTCTTCACCGTTCTGACCATCAGGCACGCGATGCTTTAAAAATTAATGTAGTGAATTACAAATCTGTTGGAAATAGAAGATTTGAAAAAAAACAACCTAAGACCTTTCCCACAAGGTTTTGCTGTCCATTAGATAATGTTTAGTTGGTTTATATCGTTTGTTCAAACATTTCAACACTGATTGGGCCACGCAACAACTTCTGAACATTGCACGATTATGCGAGTTCGTCCGATTTTATCTGGTAAGAAATAAAATCTGAAAAGTAAACTGGGGGCCACTATCTTTAAAGATTAGCTACACGTCTACAATCCCGCTGGTGTTTTTGATATCCTTGAGCGGTGGTAATAAAAATATTCGAAAGATAAACTGTGTCCCGAGGGTAGACAAGGGTATGCAGGGTAAGTACGGAACTTACCGCTGCCTCTGCGCTGTTAAATCTTTCCCCAATTACCTCGTTATTTGCGGCAACACGAGAACACAGCGTATTGCTGGCCCTGGCGGCTCCCCATAAATAGATGACTAAGCACCATTCAGATCATCCACGAATCTAGCCTTCATTCATATAGCAATCATTTAGTCGCATTATAAGGATAGCAGTGGACACCTTACCTATTTCATGAGTCCAAGAGTACATTGTTGAAAGTTCATAATTTTTTTTACCTCGCTGCACTAAAGACTCATAAACCACAAACTTAACGTACCTCAGTTTGTTGAAAGTTGGTCGTGTGCGTATCCTCATTGACAGAAGTAGATATCTTTGGTCCGGTGTCACTGAGGATTCGCCCATCTTCTAGCACCAGTTCACGCTTAACCCTAGTGGCTATTTGTCGTGTAGTTGTCACCTCGCTTGTTTTCTTTGTCACCCACTCTTCTGTAAATGTAAGACGTTCTTCGTTTTAATTTTTTCTATGCTAGGAGTTGAATACCAAACGGCAGCACTCAAGAGAATTATTAGCTGTCGTGAAATCGATAAAATAATTTATTAAAATTAAATTAATTTTAAAAATGTATGACGGGTTGAAATAGAGACAGTTGAAATTTAAATTTTTAGTATTATTATATAAATGACATGACTATATTTTTAGTAGATGGAAAAAGATATTGTTAACATTTTATTAAAAAAAATATCTTTAATATCTAAATCTATCAAAAATAATTTACCTTCTTTTGTCGTAGCTATTACATCCCCTGGTTCGGCCTTAGAACAAAGAAAAAACAGAAATAAATGTAAGAAATTTTAAATAAAGTGTTGTTAGTGTGTTTTCGACTTATTAATTGCGTTAGCTCACAAATCACTTTAATAATAAAATAATGATTAATGCAATATACTAACAGCGCCCTCTCTTACCAAGTAGCTAAAATTATTAGTTTCCAGTAATTCCCGTTCAGGTGACTTCGACACGTATCGCATAAGTACACGTGGTCGCCGCTTGATGGCGCCATGATCGCTTAATTTGAAAACTGTGACCATCAAAATTCATTCAATTTCCACTTTAAACTTCAATGACAATAATAAACAGAACGTCATAGAATATGTTATCTTCACGTACAGTTCAATAAACTAATGACAGACCATCGATAACTAAACATTTCGTAAAGATTTGCTTTTTCACTACGAATTTTAGCACTTTTAACACCTTCGTAATCATTATCCGCGCAGCGGGGTTGGTAACTACAACGTAGTTTCAAAATTTCACGCCTACACACAACACATGAAACATTTCATTTATTGCAAAAACATCGCGCGTCCTAAGTTCGCGTCAGTAATTGACTGAAGAAAACCGAGGCTCAGCTGCAAACATAAAATTAATGAACCGACGGATTAACATTTTCTTTTGGCGCCCGCCACTGTACGTAACGCAATGAGTATTCCGTCTGTATGCCGCTGTTTCCGTTTGGGCTGCACGTTCAAACGGCGCGATAGAATTTGAACCAGACATTCAATATATTTAGGCGAATAGCGATGTTCAATATATTGATATCGAAATCAAAACATTAAGCACAAACTGATTACTGAACCCTATACCGAAACAAGTCATAATAGTCGGAAAGTTTTGATCTTAGCTGGTCCTGTAGTCAAAAAATTAATACTAGAATTACTTCACTTAGAAGTAAAATTTCAATGGGTTACTTATATTTTTAATAAATATGACAACCATTATCTTTCTTATATCTTGTATTAACTGTTTGTGCTTTCAGTCCCGAGCCTATTAAAGCTTCATCTTTAGATTCATCTTTAGATCATATTCAGAACCGGTGGGCTAGCCGGAACCCACGGGTTTGGGCCCTCCGCTGCGGGTAGGGCCGCGCATGTGCTCATGCGTGCTATTAACTACATGTCATCTAAGGGCCATCGGGGTTTAAGTGCGGACCGAGACCTCGATGGCCGTCGACTGTGTTGTTAGTTAATCGGTGGCTGGGGGTGGTGAGAACCGCCCTGGAACTTGGATTTCAATGGGCGAAAATCATGCATCTGTACGACATGATTCCAACGTAGGACAAAAATTAATCAAGTAAAATAATTTTAATTTGTCGATCAAAACGACTTGTACTCGCACAATTTAATGAATAAGAAGATATTCCGTTTTTTTTTTTTTAACATGAAAACGTACGTTTGTACCCAAGTCATGTCTTAAGTTCAAGGTCTTGCGTAAGCATCAATACAATAAACATTAACGTGCATTAACCCGTCTATGCTTTATTACGTTTTCTTCCAACATAACTTATAACAGCCTATGCGCCATTACATCAATGGTGAAATCGTTTTGTAATAACCTAATAACCGTTCTGTGAAAAACTGTTGATATGCTTACTGAGCAATAATTGCACCTACCTACCTATCGTTTAATTACGATTACAAACTTTTTAAGCCGTGGGAATGCAAATAATTCAATATTAATTGTTCAATTTTGAGTACATAATACGAGCGATTGCGAAATGTAGGTACAAATATATAAGAAGAAATGAAAAAAACAGAAGTATACACAGACACAACAGAAATGAAAAGAACAGAAAAATAGAAGTAACAGGCATTGTCCCATTGCTGGGCAAACGCACACTCACAGATGGTACAGACGGTATCAAGGCGCAGTCACACACAGACACTTGACATTTCTGCGAAATATTTCTTTTTTTACTGTTGATATTACTAAAATATGCCACTGTGGTAGGACCACGCTACAGTCTTCGGCTGTTGCAAGGTCCTGTCTGTACTGTCACGGCTTATATATGACTTATATATAACTCAGCTAAATAAAAATTGACTGGTAATAACTTAAAAAGTTTTTCAAAACACCAGGTAATGAGAACACAAACAGTATAAAAATTAACCAACAAAAAAAATATTCAAGCCCGAATGAATAATTAAAAAAAGACAAATCTTTTGTTATAGAGTTGAGAGAGTCAATGAAACATTTTATTACATTCAAAAAGAAAAATAAAGTAGCAACTTTGGAATCCTTTGGCGCAAGATGAAACGCTAAGATGCACAGATCGCGAAAACCATATCCATAATCTCGCAGATGCGAATGTTAATAATTTAATATTTTTACGAATGCAACGTCTACTACATTAAAAAAAACTAAGAATTTAACTTTTAATGAGCCAATAGTTTTACTGCAGCTACATCGCCGCATACCATCAGGATAGCGGTCGAGCACTGCCCAGTTTCAAAATGCGATAAACAAACTTTACGTGCAAAAATACATAACATACTAATTACACTATATCAACCTATAAATATCCGTCTTGAAGTCAGATTGGTATCGGATTGACGGAAGTGAGCGCATATGAGCAAAAGCGGCGGGTTGAGAGACACGTGGCGCGTGCAAGCGCGGCCGCGCCCTTGTCCGGTGGGCAACGCAGCGCGACGCGGCCGCGAGGCCGGCGCATTGTGGATGCACCCGGCCGTATGCGTCGCCCATTGTATCCGCTTAATTGGGTCACGGCTGTCGCTCCCGCCCCGCTGGAGTATCGCTATCTGTCGGAATCGGGCCTCCATTGTTTCTTTATAGCGCTTACGTTTATGCGAAATGTGGGAGGCCGGTTTCGAAAATATAAGCAGTTTAGACCAAAGCATGGGGTTTCCACGATCACAAAGCGCAGCAATACTCGGAAAAACTAATCATTGTTTACAATTTTTTTATCTAATAGTAGGGTACTGATTATGGCTGTGGTATAACTTTATATATATATATACACATATATATACATATATATATTCCTTGCTGTTGTACGAACGGGTAGCCTCGTCCGGATATTCACTATAGGCCTTTAGAGGGGCTTTAAAGGGGCTTTACAGGTCCGGTGGCCGGGTGCTGAGGGCACCGAGCCTGAACCTCGTTTATGATTGGCTAAGCTCGAGAGTTCCCGAGGGAGCCTCGTCGATAGCAGTCACTCTATTACTATTACTACCGGTTTCGTAGGCCATCGCTTTAACGGATGCGCCATGGAGTAACTAGGCACAAGGGCCCCCGAGAGGACCTCGGTTAGCACTCCGGCTGTGCCCGGGAGGTCGAACCTCACCTCGATCGTCAGCTATTGTATTTTTCTGGCTAAGAAATCGACGTAAAGGGGAAGTGTTATTTATAACTTTTAACTTCGGGCGGTGAGTGGGGTAAGTGGAGTAAAAAGAAATGGTATTTTAAAGTTGGTAACGCATCTGCCACTCCAAAGCCATACATGTCTGTACATGTCTACGGGCGGTGGTAATCGCTTAACGTCAGATAACTGCCTACTCACTTACCAATTTTTCATATAAAAAAGGGATCCGTCAAGTTTTTAAAGCTTTATTTTATTAATTTGTTACCTTGTTGTACTGTATCAACACGAAACCCCCGTCTCGATGTAATTTGCATTCAATTAAATTTACACAACACGACGAGCTTTCGGACATTGCATTCATTATAAAACAACGGCCGCAGCGAAATAAAGTAATTCAGTTGACAGTCAGTTCCAAATATAATAAATCATATTTTGAATAATATTTGAAAATATTCCGAATTTATAACATATACCAGGGATTACTTTTGTATTGTTATTTTTTAATGTTAAAAGCGGACAAACGAACAGGCAGTCTATCTGATGTTAAGCGATTACCGCCGCCCATGGACATATGGACGTTTCATGATGAAAGACCAAATCAATTATTACGATCAATTCCGTTCGTTTTTTTCACAATTTCTTACTAGAGTCTCATCAGCTGTTGTCAGTCAGAGATTCGAATTGCTTGGTTTTGCCCAAAAGCTCATAGTGATCCAATCCCCCACCATATATAACATCACCTAGTTAATCCGAGTTTCATTACGGTATATGGATCTGGAATGCTTTTTCTTCTTCTTTTAATTTATTCAAATTGGATCGGTTTCATTACATTTAAACAGTACACGATTCATTGCGTTTCGTTCAGTCGGTTCATGTGGCACCCAAATATCGGGCTTTTTCGAATACTCAGACGTTTTCAAATGAGTCAAAACTGTTTTGTAATCAATCCTCGGTTCTTCAACTAAGTCAAGATAGCTTATAAGCCGATCTTACTACACTTTTCCAGAAATGTCACTGTTTTAACCGTAATAGCGCCAGAGCGAACTGCAGCTTTGAAATCAAAACTCCCTTATTGAAACCGCTTGAATCAACCTTTTTTTTTGCTGCTTGTGTCGCATTTTTCCATTTTTAAGTTATACTTCTTTAGGTGCGTTATGAAAAAATGATGAGAGGAAAATTTTAAGATGCGGGCGCATCATTGTAACACTAAAGTCACACCTTTGAAGCTGCCCGCTAAACCGCTTATTATAGATGGCAGCATATTCTCAATCACATTCGCCCGTTACAGTTCTCAATAAAGAATGTAGATGGCGCTTTCATAATTTTATTATTTACATCCTTTTCCAGTCTTTTTATTATTTTATTGTAATTAATTATTTGAATGCAATTAAAAACTATTTTTAATGATGCCAAAGAATTATAACTTCTCATGCTTGTACATAAGTACACGCACGCATTTTTTGAAGTTATACTTCTTTAAGCGCGTTATGAAAAAATGATGAGAGTGAAATTTTAAGATGCGGGCGCATCATTGTAACACTAAAGTCACACCTTTGAAGCTGCCCGCTAAACCGCTTATTACAGATGGCAGCATTCTCTCAATCACATTCGCCCGCTATAGTTCTCAATAAAGAATGTAGTTGGCATTATAAATCAATTTACTATAAATTATTTTATTTTTATTTCTATCAAAACACAAGTAAAAATCACGATAGAAATCTTATATTGTTCTAAGAAAACTGCCTTAAATGTTCCTTTCATGCTTCCTAAAAGCAGGAAGCGCGAATGTTAAAGTATTTTGACATATTTCCCTGTCAGGCAACCCGGCGGCCGTGTCGCAGCGGGCTTATTTAAGAAACGAGTCGAAAAGGTCACCTCAAATATAGACTGATGATTGCAAAAATGATAGGCACTTAGGGCTGTCACACACTTGGCATTTCTACTTAGTAACGTTTACTATGCTCGTTTGCACTAATCCAACATTAATCGACTACAGATCTAATGAGATGTATGTATCAAATAGTATTAGCGGTAAAAATATGATTGAGTACCACACAATCTAGATCGGCTAAAGTTTGCCTCGTTTCATTGTTTATGGTTTTGTTTTCCACAATACTGATGGCAGCCCTTGACTTGTTTAAAGAATATTGTGACAGTTATCATAGCGCTTTGATTGCTACTAAAGGTCGATACTATTGTATACAATTATGAACAATGTAGTATGAACCTATAATCAAATTTGTAAATTACTAAACCGCGTGGTGGACTATGCCCTCATACCCTCTGTATAGAAGAGGCCTTTGCCCAGCAGTGGGACATGTATAGGCTGTTACTTTACTTTTTTTTACTAAATTCCACTGTAGCTTAAAAAGCTTTTATTATTTAAAAAGCCTTATTTTACTTTTAGGTTACTTTTAGATTTGAGTATAAAACAGCCGTGATAGTTCAGTGTCCGGGCGCTCGTTTTTAATTTCGTATACTCGAGCAACCTCAGTTTAAACCCATGCATTATTATTTTTTTTATTTTTTATTAATCATAATTGCTGACTTATCACGTGCTCAGCGGTGAAGAAATAAGCGTTGCAGAAACCTGCATATTTTCGAAATAATAATAAAATGCGTATTTCGAAAATATAGACAGTGGTTGAACTATGCCCTAATAATCTCTGCACCGAAGCCTTTGCCCATTAATGGGATATATATCGGCTGTTACTTTACTTTTTACTTTAGAAAACATTAAAACACGATATCTTTTCCTAAGCCATTATGTGCAATTTCATAATTAGTCATAACCTTTATATTAAATATATGTATAATAGCCGATTATTCGTCTCCGGCTATGATATTTTTTTAGCAATTTAAACGTATTTAAGTATTAGTTGTTAATAAATTTGCAAGTATAAGTACTTTAGTATAGCAATTTCAGTTATCATCAATATCTACATTTAATAACTTGAAATGAATATGAAAAAGATAAAGTTTATATAATAATAAAGTTTATAATACAAAAAAAAACCTTGAAATAAGGTAAAGTGAAATGTGATTATATAAGAATGCATGAATTAACCTATCACACTATAATTGAAACAAATATATTGTCATATAGGTTAAAGGGGTTTTCTGTGAAATTTGAGATCTTTAATACTGCCTAATAAGTAAGAAACTCAGTAAAGTAAGGTTTCAAATTCTCGAACAGGATTAACCCACAAATACTATTTTAAACACAAAGTTTTTAACACGTAAATTTTATACATCGTGTTTATAACTCAACATTTGTGTATGTTCACCGATGTCCGAAGCAATTATTGTCAACGACAAACTTAATCATAATTAAGCTTTAGTAACCAAGCTACCAGTATGAGCGGGACACCATTAGCTAGCTAATGATTTATCTAAGACAATCTAGGATAATCGGGAAATATGATATATGAAATATGAACGGACATATTCACATTTATTAATCAATCTACTATAGTAAGCAAAAACATATTATCGTAAAGTATTATGAGAAGTGAAGAATGTAATCAAGGGAACACAATTATGTAGCTTTTATTGAATTTGTTTGTACCCTATTTTCTTTTTATATGCACACGAATGCACACACTTTAGGTTGTGGGTATTATTCCTTGGTTATGTCATACGAATACGGCTAATAGATGAATCAACATATAAATATTTTGAAAAGTCCACAAGTACGCTACACTTTACGTAACTAAATATTTTATTTATAGTTTCAAATGTAAACAACTATTAGCAACCGTTCAGATCTTGCCATAGTCAGTAGGACTTTTTTCTTAGTCGTACATATTACTTGCCAAGAACTTTGACACGGTCAACATTCATTTAATATAATGAATATATTAACAATAGCTTCCCTGATTGACATAAGCTCTTCGGCTTATCAATAACATGAAAAAGGTGGTAATCAAAACGAAAGTAATGTTTTGAACACAGTCAATAACATTGATGGGCGAATAAACAATCACTAGATTTGACCCAAACAGGTCAAGCTAAATAAAGCCCTTTAAAGACCCTCAAAACGCGAGTGTCGAGACAATTAGTGTATTATTCTCGATTCCGCGCCCTGATTCTCGCATTTTATCGGTTTTTGTCTTGCATGGTTTTGAATTGCGCACATGGAGAACGTCCCACGAAACATGGTGAAGTACGGGTAATAATAAGCACAAAACGTAGACCATCACACGATGTATGTCTAAAGATCTAGGAATCAATAAATTGTGTGTTAAAATTCACATTAACCTTATTTTGACTTACGAAATTCAATGCATTAAGTCAAAATGAGGTTAATGTTATTAACAGGTGTGTATGTTCTACTGATTGATCTTTAACACGAAAATCTTAATAGTTTACTGATTATTATTTAATGATGATGTGTGAAAACGTTAACATTAATTATAATTAATGCGACTTTAAAAATTTAAATTAAGACACAGATTG